GCGTCAGCAATTACCAGTTTTCCTATTGTCATTTTTATTCATAAATATTGTCTTCTACCGATTAAATCGGAGAAATTTTCATATATATATATATATATATATATATATATATATATATACAATTAAAATATATATATATAATGGAAAACCATTTATTTTATTTTCAACATCATCACTTGATAAGACACAGAGTGTGTTGAAACAAAATGGCTATTTTTGTAGTGATTTTATAACATACTTATGTTATAATTTTTTTATAAAAATAATTATATCTGCTCTACTTTTGTATTGAGCACTTTTTAAGAATAGTAATTGGATATATATATATATATATATATATATATATATATATATATTAGGTTGGTGCATAATTATTAGGCGTTTTTAAACAATATTTATCATGAAAAATAAGAAACAAGAATTCAACGATAACATTTTTAAATCATTTTTCCGGGGCGTATGAATATCGACTCGCATTTTTATAAATTGAAAATAAAAAACATATTTTTATTTAAAATGTAAACAAAACAGTATTTTTTTATTAACAAATAATTAATAGAAACGCCTAATAGAAACGTCAACGCTCAATCGGATTGTTTATGTCCTTCCATGAAATCGTTCTGATAAGCTTTCCTCTTTGGTACAGAGACATTATGAATTTAAGCGCAGTACTCGATTGGCGGCAAGGTCTCATTATTTTACTGCTGAAATGGCTAGATGTAATCGTAAAATCGTGAAATCTATACCAGCACTATCTTTTCTCGCACTTATCACTTGTGGAAATCTTTTCGACTTTTTGGTTACCGGTCAACTTTTATCAAAAATTTAAATGCGGTTTCAAACGTAATCTTCTGTTTTCCTAATTACTGTTATTTTATTTTTCTCTCCACTTAATGTTTGCACCTTAGTAAATTGATTCCTTTTCTAGAGGTGATTAATTATATTATTATGATCTATGATTGCTTACCACTGAGTAGTGAATTTGATTCTCAATGGGTGCCTCAGATTTCGGCTTTGCCCAACATCTATGCAACGTATAGCGGGACTTCGACGTGGTGTAATGGCTAACAATCTTGTCTCGCTAGATCAGGTACGACTCAGTAGTGAGTTGGATCCCCACAATTGTGCCCCAGACTTTCGGCTTTGTGCCACATCTAAGCAATGGATAGAGGCACTTCGACGTCGTGTAATTGTTAACAATCTTGTCTCGCTAGAGCAGTTCCGACTCAATAGTGAGTTGGATCCTCACTGGGTGCCCCAGACTTTCGGCTTCGTGCCACATCTGTGCAATGCGTAGAGGCACTTCGACGTGGTGTAATGGTTAACAAGCTTGTCTCGCTAGATCAGTTACGACTCAGTAGTGAGTTGGATCCTCACTGGGTGCCCCAGACGTTCGGCTTTTTGCTGCATCTAAGCAATGGATAGAAGCACTTCGTCGTGGTGTAATGGTTAACAAGCTTATCTCGCTAGATCAGTTACGACTCAGTAGTGAGTTGGATCCTCACTAGGTGCCCCAGACCTTCGGCTTTTTGCTACATCTAAGCAATGGATAGATGCACTTCGACGTCGTGTAATGTTTAACAAGCTTGTCTTGCTAGATCACTTAAGACTCAGTAGTGAGTTGGATCCTCAATGGGTGCCCCAGACTTTCACCTTTGTGCTATATCTAAGCTACGCTTCAAAAATCAGTGAGACTTCGACATGGTGTAAGAGTTAGTATTTTTTGTCCCGCTAGATCAGTTACGACTCAGTAGTGATTTAGATGCTCACTGAGTGCTCCGTAATCTCGACCTATGACACGCTCAGACAATCAGTATATAGAATATCCTGCATATTAATAGGGTAATTTTTTTCGGGGACACTTTATTAGATTGTTTTCAAAATTAGGGAAAATGACAAATGCCTAATAATGGAAAATGTCATGTAAAGGGTAAAGTAGGCTAATTGATATAGTTATTAAAAATAAAACAAAAAATTAACTTAAATGACAAACATCGCAAAATACTGAAAAAGAAATCTAACGATAAAAACAGTATATGAACATATAGCTACAACTCCTGCAAACGCTATAAAAACATCATAAAATCCCTGAATAGTAAAAAGCATGTAGTAATATTTTAAGAATATTCTTTTTTCTATTTATTTATTTATTTATTTCTTGCTTCAGGAAAAAAACAGTTTTGTTCGTCTCATGCCACAAGGCCTAGTCATTAACCGTGTTTTTATTCTTACTGTTTCTTATATACCCATATCTCTTTTCTTCTCTTTCTAAGCCTTTTCTATTCCCCCAGCTTTCGCCTATTTTTTCACTTGTCAACAATGTCCATCTTATAGCAAAAATGAAAGAGATGAAAGATTAATTTTATAGTTTGGTAGCCAACGAGTCCCAGTGACCGCTTCAACCAAGCGTACACTTCCTCCTCAACACTGCCACCCACTTACTTCCTACTTTTTCAACACTGAATCCGCATTCTTCAGCTCTGGCCACAATATCAAGCATTTCCTCTTTTTTCCACTCTGGACAGTCAACTTTCGGTTTCACTTTCACTTTCACTTTCGTTTTACAAGCTGCTTATTAATGTATGATTATTAACTGGTTGGCTCCATCTATTGCTTGTCGCCAAGGACCAAGTTTTGCTGGGAAAATTAACAGCAACAAGAACTTGCTTTACGTCCCAATAAATTATTTCTCTTTCCTCTGCATAATATTCTCCTTTTCACACATTTTTTTCTACTTTTTTCTGTATTTTCTTTCATTTTTGTGTGATTTTATTTCAGTTCTCTTTCTTTTCAATTTCATTTTTTTTATCTCGTTTTAATCATTCTATTTCTTCATTTCTTTTCTTCCCTTTAGTTTCCTTTTTTTTGTAAAATTCAGTTTATTCGTAGTTTTTCATTATTTACCATTTATTTTCTTTCTTTTTCGTTTTCTTCTGTTATTCAGATTTTTATTCAGATTTTTATTCCCCTATTCTGACATTTATTCTGTCTTTCATTCTGTTAGTTATTCCACCTTTTACTTTTCATTCTCTTTTTTTATTTTATTTTTGTATTGTATTATTTCTCTTGTTTTCCTGCTTTCTTTCCTTTTCTATTTAATTTTTCTCTCTTATTGTTTAAACTTTCCGTTTTTCTTTCTCTTTTCGTTTTTAATTCCGCATTCCAGTTTTTGTTCGATTTTCTTTCACTTTTCATTCGCTATATGTTCATATACTGTTCTTATCGATAGATTTATTTATCAGTAGTTTGCGATGTTTGTCATTTCAGTTAATTTGTTGTTTTATTTTTAATAACTATATCTCTTAGCCTACTTTCCAATTTATATGACATTTCCCATTATTAGGCATGTTCCTTCTCTTTAAATGATTGTTAAACAAACAACTTATTGTTGGCTACAATTGAGTGAAGCTTGTATTAGATAGCTTGAGAATTGGGGGTGTTCTTAGTTTAAAATTTGTGTTGAAATCGATTTTTCGCTTTTCGGGGTTTTTCGCTAAACGCAGTGGCGTAGAAATAAAAATTAGGTATCGTTAAGCTCGTCATGATATAAGTAATCTATGTAACGAGTTTGAGCGAAATTGGAGGAAAAAGCAGAATGTATCGAATTTTGATCGGCTTTATAGATCATTGATTTTTTTAAAAATTAATTTATTTTACGCTAAGAACCTAGCTATTACATAGCACAATGTATGTGCCAAATTTGTTCAAAATCGGTTGTATTGATCTTGATTGAAAAGTCCCACAGACAGACACAGACACACAGACATATTATATATATATATATATATATATATATATATATATATATATATATATATATATATATATATATATTATAATTTTTATTATGATGCCTAATACTACCTGCGGTGTGAATGAATCACAAATGCAAAGAATTCGCGAACGATGTACGCCTGCGCAGTATTGCGCTTGTGATTAGTAAAATTCTAGGAAGGAAGGAAGGAAGGAAGCAAGCAAGCAATGAAAGAAAAGGAAGGAAAAGGAAAGAATGAAATAATAAAAGAAAAAAATACCAAATACGGCTGAAATCACTAAAGGAAGGAAAGAAAAAAGAGAGAACACAAGAAAGAAACAAAGAAAGAGAAGGAAGGAGGGGGAAACAAAAAAGGAATTAAGATACAAACGAAGACTGAAATCAATAAAGTGAGGGGGAGGGAGTGATAAAAAAGAAAGAAAGTAGGAAGGAAGGAAGGCTGGAAATGATAAAGTAAGAAAGAAAGAAGGAAGGTAGAAACGAGAAAGAAATGGAATAAGGAAGGAAATAACGTTTATTTTTATGACTTAAACGTTTTATTTTCTTTCTTAAATATTCTTTCTTTATATTCTTTTCTTTTATTTAATCCTTTCTTTCGACATGGATTTTTCTTTTAAGTTTTATCTTTGCATAATTCGCTTCCATTTTTATTTCAATTATTTATTTTTCCCTGTTATTACTCATTTTTGAATTTATTTTGATGTTTAACCAATAACTTTCTATTCCTTTCTTTCATTCATTCGTTCTTTTTTTCCTATTTTCCTTCATTTTTCCTTCCTTCCCTTTTCGCTTCTTCCATTCCTTAGTTTTTTCTTTCTTTCTTTTATTCATTTTTCTTTCTTTTTTTTATCTTTCTTCCTTTAATATTTTTCCAGCTTTCATTCTTTTTTTATCTTTCTTTCTTTATTGTTTCCGTCTTTCCTTGTTTTCCTTCTCTAAATTTTCTTTCTTATTTTCCTTTCCTGCCTTCCTTTCTTCATCCTTTCTTTATTTCTTTCTTATTTATTTATTCATTTATTTTTCCATCTTTCACAATTTCTCATCCTTCCTTCCTTCCTTCCTTCCTTCCTTCCTTCCTTCCTTCCTTCCTTCCTTCCTTCCTTCCATCTTTTCTTCCGTCCTTTCTTCCTTCCCCCCTTCCTTCCATCCTTACTTCCTTCCCCTCCATCCTTCCATCCTTCCTTCTTTTCCTTCCTCCCTTTCTTCCTTCCGTTCGTTCGTTCGTTCGTTCCTTCCTTCCTTCCTTCCTTCCTTCCTTCCATCCATCCATCTTTTCTTCCGTCCTTCCTTCCTTCCTTCCCTCCTCCCTTCCTTCCATCCTTACTTCCTTCCTCTCCATCCTTCCATCCTTCCTTCTCTTCCTTCCTCCCTTTCTTCCTTCCGTTCGTTCGTTCGTTCGTTCCTTCCTTCCTTCCTTTCTTTCTTTCTCTATTGATTTCAGCTTTTTTCTTTCTTCCTTTCTTTATTCAGTCCTTTTTTATTCATATTTTCCTTCTTTTCTTCCCTTTTCTTTTCCTTCCTTCCTCTATTCCTTCCTTCATTCCTACCCTTCTTTCTTTCTTTACTTTTCCTTCTTTCTTACCTTTTTTCTTTTATTATTTCAGTCTCCCTTCCTTTCTTCTTTCCTACCATCCTTCCTTCCCACTTTCATTCTTTCGTTTTGCTTTATACCTCTCTCCCTTAACTTATTCATCTATCTTAATCCCTATATACTTTCCTCCTTCCTTCATGTCTCCCTTCCTTTGTTCTTCTCTTTCTTCCTTCCTTTCTCACTTCATTCTTTATTTCTTTATTATTTCCAGCCTTCCTACTTTCTTTCTTTTTTGTTTTATCACTCCCACTCTCACTCCCTCTCTTTCTACCTTTATTGGTTTCAGTCTTGGTTTGTATGTAATTCCTTTTGTTGTTTCCTCCCTTTCTTCCTTCATTTTCTTTCTTTCTTTCTTTCTTTCTTTCTTTCTTTCTTTCTTTCTTTCTTTCAGCCTTCTTTTGTATTTTTCTTCCTTTATTATTTCATTCTTTCCTGTTTCTTTCCTTCCTTCCTTCCTTCCTTCCTTCCTTCCTTCCTTCCTTCCTTCCTACAATTTTACTAATCACAAGCGCAAAACCGCGCAGGCGTAGTTTGTTCACGAATTCTTTACATTTGTCGCTGTCGTCATAATAGTTTCTTGCAATGGTCACTTTTACGATCTTTTTTCCTTCTCAAACTTTTCCCCCCTTTTCGCATTTCCTTCCGCCAACTTCGTCCACACCTCTACCTGCAAATTCTCTTCAATACCCCCCCCCACCTTAAATCCTTTACCAAAACCTCCACTTCTCCTATTCTTCTTTTTTCGTATTTCCTTCCCTTCTTTCTCGCTCAACCTCCGACCACGTTCTTCCCAGCCGCTGGGGAAATATGCAATGCCAAGAAGTAAGGAACTAAAAGCCCCCTTGTATGACTCAGTCCTACTTTACTTTAGTCAGTCCTTTGTTCCATTTCGTAGCCAAATGACTCAGCCTTCCTGGCGACCGTTGGTCAACGCCCTGGATTGGTCAGCTTGTTAGTGGGTCATGGCATCTTTAGGTTTGCCGGTGGTATGGTTGGTTAAATGTTCTTGCTTTGTAGGTTATTTGGATTTTCATACTCTGAAGAATGTTTCTTTATTTTTTGTTGTTACTATGCGAATTTGTTATGTGGTTGGTCAGTTGGTGAGGCATTGGTCAGTAGTTACAAAGTTCAACGTCTATCGTTGGTAAATGAAATCGATAGTTCATTGGTTAGCCTTCCAAGCAGCCTTGGTTAGTAACATGGTACTGAAGCCCACTTCCTCACTTCCTACCAAGTGGTCAGCTATTTTGTTGACTAAAATCTAAGCAAAGCCATTGGTCAGTGAAATTGGTCAAACCCCTTATCGAGAAACTTAGTGGTCAGTTTTTAGATTGGTCATTGTTCTATGTAGTTGATTGGTTCCTGGTTGATAAATTTTTAGTATCAAAGTACAAGTTGGTCACTACCAAAATCTCAGCTTGATTATTGGTTGGTTGATTGGCATATTTGGAGTGAGAAGTGAATTATGAGATGGTCACTGTTTTAGTTGGTCGAAATCCTAGATAGTCTATTGGTCTGTTGGATTGACCATTATATTGTTAGTAGAAGGTGGTGGTCAATTTTTTGATTGACGTTAATTAACGGTGTTTTGGAATTAAATAAAACAAAAACAATATTCTTTGGCGACTATAGATGTCATTTTCTTTCTTTTCTTTTTTTGGTTTGGTTTGGTGCTCCTGCTATATATTTAAAGATTCTATAATTTTAATGATCCTAAAGTGGGATCTAGGCTCCATCCCTTTCCTATTGTATTTTAATTATTTTTATACACTACCTGTTCTGCTCATTTTCAGTTGTCTTTTTCACTTTACCGATCAGACCAATTTCATTTACGAGTTAACTTGCTTTGAATGTTGCTGCAACATATGTTCCGGTGCTCCTGTTATAGATTTAGAGATTCCTGATAAAATCCAAAGAAGAATCTGCAATGTTACTGATCCAGACCTGACATCACGGCTTCAGTCACTGGTCTAATGTAGCTTCCTTTTGTCTTTGCTATAAATACTTCCATGGTAATTGTTCTGATGAGCTTACATTTTTGATATCTCGTCACATTGAATTTAAGTGGATTACTAGATTGGTGACAAGGTCTTATCATCTTAGAGTTGAAATGGTGAGATGTAACCGTAAGTTC